TATATATATATATATATATATATATATATATATATACGCAATACTTTTTATTACTTTTATTTTAATATAATATTATTTAATAATTATCTTAATAATATGAAAAATTTATCTGACAGATAAATTTATTTTATTTTTCTTGTAGTTAGGTAAATAAAATTAATTAGAAAAATTAATTAAAAAAATATTTTTTATTTGATTTTATTATAGAAAAATATATAGATTTTTTTTACTTCTTTATATATATATATATATTTTTTCATTTGAATTTTTGATTTATACATTTCTTCAATGTAAAACGAAATCTGTTCTTCTTATATTGTGTAACTAAATTAATTATTTTTCTTACCTCATTATCTCAAATAATTAAAATATATATTATAAACCAATAAAAAAAAATTAATTTTTCAATAACTAGAGACTAGAATTTATTCGTAAAATTTTCATTTGTCTTTTTCTTTTTTTTTTCCTATTTCAAATAAAAAATACTCAATCCTGCGCGATATAAATACATTAATTTATCGCATAAAGTAGGCAACTTATAATTTCATAATAAAAATATTGACATAACGGTATCAGTATGCAATCAATTATTTTGCAATTAATATTTCATTCTAATTATATTGTTAATTTTAATGTCAACGAATGACGAAATTTTTCGAGGAAAGTATATCAACGAAATGAAATATACGTGAAATTTCGCGGTATATTTAAAAGTTATACACACATAAAAATGTTACTTACCTTAAGAAATATCGATGGGTAAAAAGTGATAAAAATTAAAATTCATATTCGTCATCGTTATATAAAAAGATAGGACGAAATTTAAAAATATTTATTTTTTATATATTATCGTGCAAAAAAAGAAAGGATAAAACTATAGTAAATGTGTCTGCGTCAACGAATTATTACAATGTTTAAAATGCGATAATGAAATCTGCAATTCAACGACATTACAGATTAAATACACATTTATACATTTTTTCGTAAAAAAAAAAAAAAAAAAAAAAAAAAATTAAGATTTCATCAATTTTTTAATAATTAAATAAAGTATATATACAAGAAAAGTTGAATTATAATAGAGATAGAAAACACTTCATTTTTATCTTCATTTTTATCCTTCTAGGTATTTAATGAATATACATTCAATACTTTATATATAGAAAAAGAAGATAATATAGCTGTTAATAAGATTAATTGGATAATAAGATTATATCTCTTTATAATTGTCGCTGATGATATATACACGAATTTTTATAAAATAATTTTTTTTGGATTTTTGTTAAGCTCTGATCTACAACGTATCATCACGAAAAATATTACGTTTGCAACGAGTGGAAGATAAGTAAGTCGTTCATATATATATATATATGAACAATGTAACTCGAGGAGAAAAATTGAGGAGAAGAGATCAGGAAACGAAATGATTCGAGAATATAATGTAATTGTATAATTTTCACATTATTTAATACAAAATAATTATTAGAAATTACATTTGATATATAAAAATGCACATAATGAAACATAAAAATTAATCTATTCTCTGTCATATTTATTTCTTAACAAGGAAGATGAAAATGATCGTATAAAACAGATATTATTTGATCAATATGTTTTTCATAAAACTTTAATAGAAGATACTCAACATTTTAACTTATTTCAATATTTCAATAGTAATTTTTTTTATTTTTCTAATATATAGACTAATATATAAAAATGTTGATTGAGATTTTTCGTCAATATTAATTAATTAAGGATTTTTAATGTGAATACATACATTTTTATATTGTATATACTTTCTATGTTTTATATAAACAATATAAATAACTATATTGTATATGTTGTATTTGAATAATGTACATTTGAATATATTGTTATGTTATATGCTTAAGTTTTTGTGAACGAAGAATAATAATAATAATGTAAAGAAAAAGAATTAATTCATTTCGAAAAAAAAAATGGATGAATTTTATTCACCCTTAAATAGGAAAAAAAAAAAAAAAAAAAGTAGTTTCGTCAGTTTAATTTATTCAACAAATAAAAAGATTTTATTTCATTGTTCATGTGCCAACGTCATTGTTGTTTTTAGAGATGAATATTTATCAAAGAAGCCTTAAACGATTTCTTGGAAAATCAATATATATTTACTTTATTCCATAATATATGTTTTACAATTTTTACAAATAATTTGACGAGGAAGATAGAAAAAAATCGAACACGAAGTTAAACGAATTGTGGATATTATTGAAATTGATTTACTGCCATATTTATGGAAACTGACTAATAGATGGCGCGACAGATAAAAGCGAATCACGCTCAGAACTTTTTATTATAAAACTATCATTGGTACAAAACTATTTTATCAAATAATTTCAGAATAATATTTCGACATTCCAACGTGATGTTTTGATCGAATCGAAGGAATAAAAAAGGGAAAGAAAATTGAACAAAAACGATAAAATGAAATAAACTACGATTTATAAATTCAATATTAAATGTATTTAATTGTAAATTCATATTTTTAATCATTATGATATAGATAATATTCTATATTAATTTCATTTTAAAATTAAATAATTGCAAATAATTATTCATTTTAAATTTTTGAAACAAAATTAAATTTTCATGAGAATAATTTTTAATTGAAAAATGAAATAAATAATATTCAGCTTTTATTAAAAAATTGCAATTTCTATTTTGATAATATCTAACCATGTATAACAAAGACTATAATATAAATAATTATATTAATATAATATAAACTGATATTAAGTTGTTCTAATCCAGCATTATATATATCCAGTGAATTATCAATGTTATCATCTTCTTTTTTTGCTACGAATTTCTTTAAATCTTCGAAAATGCATGTGCAAAAATTAATATTAAACAAATTTATCAATTTGCTTCAATCTTAAAAAATTATCTTTATAAATCACAATTGATTAATAAATATACAAAAGTATATTATATATTAGATAGTATATATTAAAGATATGTATAAAAAAATAAAAAATATAAAAGTATATATAAATATATAATTATTTTTCTGTGGAAATTGCTATGCTTTCAAAATGAAATTACTTATAGAGCAATCTAATATTTATATACCTTACAACAATTTCTGTGAAGCAAATGTTCAGATTTGAATAGAAAAGTACAATTATAGAAATAAGAATTGAAAATCTTACATTCACAAACAAAATCATGTACCATTGCTTACATTGGTGAACAGTACCTCCCATCCCATAAAAAGCACATATAGTACAAACACATATAGTACAGACTGGTGCTTTTACGTACACACAATTACAATTATAATGTACACTACTACAATCTCTACACCATCTACTGGTCTGAACGATCGATTTATCTTCCGTTGGCATAAAAATATCCTAACTCAAATCAACTAGTTATAAGAAAAAGATGTTCTCTTGGAACATTGATGATGATGCAATATTTTTCAAGTTTATAGATTTTAAATTTGCATTTACATCTAAAATCAATAAAATTGCAAGGGTATACTACTTCTCGCGTCTGTGTTTGAAATAGCAACAAAATCACTAATGGAAAAAAAGGTAGAGAAAAATATTCTATTCAAATCAAATAAAATATTGAAAAGATAATACGTAACCTCGGTTTGATATGCGAATAACGTGTATAAAAAATCAGCTTCTTTCAAAAAACGAAATAATTTGCAAGCATCTCATGACGATGTAAGAATCACTTTCGCCGATCGTCGAGACTGGGATATCCATGACTTGCATAACTTCTTGCAAGATTACACGGCATTATACTTTCTGCTCTTTTCTCTGCTAGAGTCACTCTCATTCCGGTCCATTTGCTCATTCTTTCCTGCCTTGATCAGCCAACACATATACACACATTCGTTTACGCAATTTTGCCTCCGTTACGCTTAAAAGCTTCAATACGCTTCGCATCGTCAAGCGATATATAGAAATTCTTAAAAAAAAAAAAAATAGTTTTCACATTTCGCAACAATTTTCGTCAGAATAGAAGATTAATAATTTTGACCTAAATCTAAACCGAGAGAAGTTAAAATTGTTTTGCATAGATTCATAATGAAATTTCAAATTTTGTTTAAAATTATTTGTAGATTATTATATTATGTATTAGATATATAGAAAAGATAGAAAATTTTATGATGCTCGTGCAAATGCAATGTATGTTAATTTCTTTTTTTTTTAAAAAGCTTTATGTAAATTGATTGAAAAAAATATTCTACATCACTAGAACTTTGTAGCCAATGAAAATTTTAAATTCAATAATAAACTTTAAGTGCAATAACAACAGAGAAAAAATATAATGTAAATATAATACTATAAATAATAATGTTAAAAGATTCTAATAATGATAAAACATGAATCATAAGAAAAATATGAGGAATAATATTTAAGAATAATTTAAATTATTTTCTAATATTATTAAGATGTGAGATTTCACTTAATTACCTAATATTTGATGTTCTTATAAAAAAAAAAAGTTGAACCATTAAATATTAATGATATAATAATATTTGAAATATATGTGTGATAATATCTAATATTTAATGTTTCTTTTAGAACAAAGTTCAAAAATGAATTGAAAATTTTTCACACTCATTTCATAACATTAGAAAATAAGATAATTAAGATAAAAGAAATTATTAATAAAATATGAATTAACATACAATATATGTATATATTAACATAAACATATTATATGCATTAACTTTATGCTATGTTGATGTCTAATGCCTAATAATAAAGTAAGATTAATTTTACTTTTAAAAGTTATAAATATTTTGTCATTCAATACAAAAATATTGAAATTTATGATATACTTAACAAATGTTAAAATATTGTATAATATAAAAAAATATTTATAATAAAAATCAAAAAAATATTATATTCAGCTTTTTGAAAATAATTTACAAAAAAGAACGAAAATTTCATAGTCGAGAAAATACACTTCATGGCAGATAGAGTAATAGTGTCATTATTTAAAAAAAATTCTAAATATTACAAATTCTATCATATATGATCAGAACAGTCCGAATGAAATGAAGAAATGTTAAAAAAAAAGAAAGAAAAATTTTACCAAAGTATACTGATTTTATAAAAATTAATAAAGTTGAAAAATTATAATTTTTAGCAGCGAAAGCAGATTTAATATATTTGCATCTGATAGCAAAAAATTTGTATGAAGAAAACGAAATATATTATGGATATTATATTTCGTGACATTTTTTTGAAAATTGATTCTAAACAACAAAATAAAGACAAAAATTATATAAAATTATTGGTTGAACCTTATTTATTAAGTATAAACAATTGAAATTTACAATAAATAAAAACGGAATAAAATGAGATATTTTTATCTCAATTTCTATATTAACATAAACCCAAATTATTTAAAATTTAATAAATATTCAATCAGTGATATCTGTTTTTATTCTAGACATGAAATAATCATAAAAAATAATATATTACGGCTTTATGTATGTAAAATTTATATATAATTAAATATATGAAATTGTATTATTGTTACAAGAACAAGTAAATGTTCGGTCATTTGATCGATCGTAAGTATGCAAATGTATTTTTTTGATTGTTGATAAAATTATAACTATTTTTTAGTATTATTTTAGCATTAAATTTTTTGTTTCCCTAATTATAATTTTATCAATTGTTAAGAAAATACATTTTATATTTTATGTAATTTATTTTAATTCTAATGATGCTTTTAAATAAGAGTTAAGAGGTTAGCAGAATATATAACATTAATATATATATATATTTTAAAAGTACCTGTAAATTCTTCAATTACAACAAACAATTTAAATTCTTCAATTATATTTACAAATTAAAAAAAAAACTAGAATGTTGTATAAACAGCAAAATTTAATATTTAATATTGTATAGAATTTTTAATGGACAATGTTACAAGCATCAAGTTTAACAACTAACCTACTAAATTCTTCACTGTTTCCCGCGTAAATAAGTTCGTTCTATTCTCCCATTGGTGCTTCGTCTATTTTATATTTAAATTTACTTGTTAAATATTTAGTACTAATTCAATATTAGGATTACATTAATATATAAATTATTTGCAATTAAATTCTATATTTAATATTTTTAACAAAGATTACAAAGATTTGAATTATTTTGTTTCGAAAATATTAAAACATGTTTTATAAAAAAATATATAATATCTATTAAATAAACAAAATTAAATAAATAAATTTAAATATTTAAGTGCTAAAATTTAAATAAGATAAAATTATATAAACATATTATTGATAAAATGTAGTTTGTTTCTTAATATTAAAAAATATGTTCAAGAAAATACATGCTGCAAGAAAAAATTGAAATGAAAAAGATCCGCAATTTGAGAGCCATCTGCAAATGTTTACAGTAATGCCCGCAAGATGGCAAGTTGGCGGCAGTGGTTTTCGTCGTCGGCACGGCGGCCCTCGTTTCCATCGTTTTCGTCGCGTCGTCCTCGTTGTCGTTCTCGTTGTCATCCTCGTCTTTGCCGCGATCGTTTTTTCCTTTTGTCGTTTCAAAAAGACTCTACGTTTATTCTGTTTGGTTCGACGGTACGCTGGCAGAAAACGAGTCATATGGATATTTGTCAGGGGCGAGGTAGGAAATCCGTATGCGAGCACGCAGAAGAGTGACAGGTTACGAACTATTCGTCGAAAGTGGGAGGGAAATACAGAAGGAAGAAAAAAAGAAAGGGCGGAAAGGAAGAAAGGAAAAAAGGAGGGAGAAATATTGGTAGAATGAAGCATCGTGGACGAGGGTAGGGCAACAGAAGCCAATAGTGAGGTGAATAGGTGGCAGATAGCGTAAACGGAAAACGGCCAGCAGTTAGAGTATACAAAAAGGAACGGGGTACCGTCAGTCAAGTGCGACCGCGTGCACAAGACAGTATTGTGTAGATATAACGCTGTTATCCCTCCTCTTTTTCTTTGATCTTTGCTCCTTTATTTTCCTTCTTCTGTCCCTTTCCCATCCTACTTCTCTTTTTCTTTACCTTTAATTTTTCCTTCTGTGATACGCGCTCGCGACGGAGAGGAGGAACACGACACGTCGATGAATGAAACTGACGACGAACAGTTATCATTCTTATTCGCGTTTGCTTGCTTCTAACAGCAAGAAGCAAGCTAAGCTTTCGTTCGTTTTACCAACGAAACGACATCGGATAGAAATTTAAGAAAGAAGGAATATCAATCACCTATACTCAAGAAAACCTTCACGAAGATATACGAAAAATTCCGCGTTATTTTTTGCTATCGTGAATTATCAACGTGCTTATTTTATGTATCATCAATCAGGTGACAAGAAGAAAACGAGACGGTATCAGAGGAATCGGTGAAGCCGGTAATCACGGTGCTACGAAACGTTTGTAAGATAAAGAGAAAGATAATCAAAAGAAAAAAGGGGGAAAGAACAACAACGAAAAACAGGTAAATATAATTATTTGATACACTGTACTTTGTCCCAAATAAATTTATGTTTTATACGTTTGAGGCGTGCCGGTACGGATTTTAAGGTTAGGACGGCCTGTAATCGATTCTGTACTTCCTATAATACGAAATGACCGTCAACTGACAAATGTGATTTCTATCGAAAATTCTCGTTCATTTAACTATTAAAATGATTATTATTACTAAATGATTATTATTACTAAAAAAACTTTAAATATTAAATTAATTACTATGCTTTCAAAATCTTGTTATATTTCCCGGTAAAATGTTCAAAATGAAATCGTCCGTTCCAATGTTCAATCATTTAACCTAACCTCCAATAACTTTTATATACAAATGTCATTGATTTCATTTTTTACAAAACAATTGATTCTTTGACAACATTCGATATCTTTTCATCGATATCGAATATAATTTTCAAATTTTTAATAATTTTTAAAAAATGTAATAATCTCTGATATTTGTAAACGAAACATATCAATATAATCAAATACACGTTAATTTATTACTCTATTCACATTACTTTGATGTACATGAATTGAGAAAAATATGTTTTTTCAAATTTATGATTCGCAAATTATATTTATGTTTCTATGCATTGAATATACTTACACGTGAGATTCTATATTATATTCTTTTTCACTTTCAATCAAAATAGTGAATAAAATTATAAAATTTCATTGTAAAGAAAGAAAACTTGAGAATTGCTACAACAATAATTAAAATATATATACAATTCTCTATGATTTGACAACTAACTCGGCTTAACTCGGTTTGACTGAGCTCTCTTCGAATGCCGTTACATCCGGTTCACGCACTCTTATACGAGAAATTAATAATTCTTTCGCATACGGCCGACAAACGTGTTATACCGGGGACATTATGTTCATTTCCGGTACAATTGGTTCTCGTTAATCGTGGATAAATCTCTATTCGAATGTTTTCTCTTTTATTTTAAAATCAAATATGTTTAATTCTCTAAATAATCATATAATATGAAAATTAACGATACTGTTAGATACATTTGATATATTCATTCCATAGTGGACTAAGCTGAATAAAATCGTATTCGCTCTTTCTAATTTCGTTTCTCTTATGACGTCTGTCTATCGCGTTATTATTTACGAATGCAAAACTCGCCCAGCAAATGTTTCGACATAGCTTCGACCTCGATCGAACCATGATTCAGACACAAAATAGCATCGAACAAATAGAGAGAAAATTCAAGAAATCCCTATATTGAGTCATAATACAGAACATAATTTTAAATTATAGATAACATCCGTTTTCAAGTATCAATGAGGCGTGACAGTAACCTATAAAATCACTCTATCGAAAGAACAGCTTAACATGGTAAATAAAAGTTTCGACTTCTTTTCCGTTTCTTTTTTCTTTTCTTTTTTCTCTCTTTAGTTATTTAAAAAGAATATTTTAACTCCCAGGTATAGATATTTTGTGATATATTTGAAAGACATATTACTTTTAATACTACAAATACATTATTTAGAACGTATAATTTTTAATATCGCGACTATATCGATAGTTTAGAACTAACGATAATTAATCCACCATGAAAAATAGCCGAATTCCAAATTATACGAATAAAAATCATTTTGAAATATTCGAGAGAATATCTTAAAATGCATTTAACTAAATATAATCGAAATATTGCCCATTCCCATCGTGAACTACGGTCGTGAAAAAGAAAAATATAGGATATAATCGAGGATAGTCGATGGTGAAATTGTTTCTATATATGTATACCAGACGATCACAACAGATTTGAAAGAATCAATAGGGACGCGTGAAATGCCATTTGGCATTCGGTTTATATATCGTATATTATACATACATATCGTTGCCTCAACGAGCATAGTCATCGATCGTGATTTCAACTTTTATGTTTTTAAAGTCTGGATTGTTTATGACCGTTATAATTCTTTTTTCGTTTTATTTTTAAAAAATTTCGTTAAAAAAACAAAAATCTCTTTGAAAAGTGAAATTTTGCTCGGAATATAAACGATCCACTAGACGACTAATCGCGTTAATTAATAAATATAAGATATCGATTTTTCATATCATTTTTAATAATATGGCAAAAGCATCTCCAAGGCAAATTAACCAAGGCTACAGGCTAAATACCTGTGTAGGAATCCCGGTCGAAAGTAACTGCTTAAGCAACAATCGTCGGGCAGAATTACTTTCTCCGTCCTCGACGGATACGTAGTACGTAATAGGTGTGCGTCATTGTCAAATTGGATAATTTCACGCGGTCAGCTTCATTCTTTCGCGTCACCGTAAAACTTGCCCTGTGTACATAATTCGTACAATATATGTAACTAAATTTTTCGCAGTATTCCATATCTCACAAGTCAATTGCATCTTCGTTGACCGACCTACTTTATATCTCGATGACAACACCAAGCCAGTCACGCGCGGGGAAGAGAAAGAAAGTGGCATCTTAGGGGCGAAAAACCGATGCTCGGGAAGATTGTCTCCGTGTTCAACGAGAAATCGATGGGCCTTACGTGGCAGCTTAATATCGATCCTCTCGGTTTTTGGTTGCGGCAGCCATCTTGAACTTAATATTTCGCCCACATTTTCTCGATAAAAGAAATTTTTTTTTCTTTTTTTCGAATTGTAAAAAAGATCTTCATACGAATTTTTTAATAAGTCAAGCAATTCGTTCGCACGAATATTTTTCATAAAAAGTTGTCTTAATTTTTTAGTTCGATAAAAACAGTGCGATGTTATCACGATTCTACCATCTTTGGCTTGCATTCGTGGCACAATGTAAAAGGTGTAATATGTACATAAAGTCCACCTGCGTGACTGCGTAATGCACACTTTGAATTTCACCCTCGAATACGAAGGTTGTTGATCGAATGGGAAGGGGAAAAAAAGGAAAAAAAAAAAAAAAAAAAATCAATACTAGAATGACCAAGCTTGGTCACGTCATGTATGATTGTGTAAGTCATACACGCGATGTGAGAAAAGCTTCCCGTGTGTAAATTTGCACACGTGTCCCCAAAGGGAACATGTTCCTGCGATGGTAAAAGTGTTGCAAAAGAAATTGTATTATATCTTTTTATGTTTTTTTAATGATAATTTTTCTTTGCCCCATGATTTTATGCTAATCGTATACAAAGTTAGATCTTATTGCGATTTTCTCTCGAGATAAATCGTGAATCTATGCATATATGGATACATTTAAAATATTATACAATGTTATTTAAATTTTTCAAAATTATTTGAAATAATCGAAACATTTTGTTTCATTCAAAAATGATTCTTGCTAATTTCTTTTTTTTTTTTCTCTCTCAAAGAAACGAAGAAATAATTATTTCTTATTTTAATATCGAATAATATTTGTCTAGACGTGGCATGAATAAAATTAGATTATACTTCAATGCCTTTATTTATGTTGATTGTATGTCATTCGAAAATGAATCATCATTAATTTATATCTGATATCTCTTGGCTGAAAATGATTAAATCATTTCCTTTTATAACTTGATTCTAATTTCTTTATATATTAATACATAATAATATATCGATTTTCTAGAATAATAATCGTAATACATTTGTTTCGCGATATGAAATATTATGTCTCTGTTTTACTCGGTTAAAAGACCGAACCAAGCCGTGTGCACAGAGTATTTTCGAATTTCTGGGATTGAAATTATTAAATGAACGAATTATATAATTTTTAATGGATTAATTAATTTATGTGTAAGACATTTCTCTCATAAAAATATTAATATCCATTTATTTAACGGATATTTAAACTTATTTTTAAACTAAATTGATATATTCAAAAATTTTCCTTTAAAATCAAAATTTTTTTCTTACTCGTATTAATAATCTGCGATTTCATATGCGATATTTTTTGCTAATACAATATTTTTGATTTAACAAAATCCAGAAAAACAAGACAAGACTCGTTATTTAAGACTGCTATATTTGCATCTAATATAAATAGATACTACATTTCTGTACAATAAAATGTATTATATAATATATAAAAAAAATTGAGCATTTAGTGTTTTGAGTTACTGTCCCGCTTAAATATCTATTCACGATTATCGACTGAACTCTTTTGGTAGACTTTTTGAAACCGGTATTCGAGCCTCTCAGAGAAATATCTAGTTTGACATTTTAATGCAATGGCTATAAAAAATTATATGATAGTAAAATGTAACGTTCCACGAAATGAGCCTATTCATAGCTTCTCGCTCGTTCGAGAAGAGAAATTTCATGGTCAACTCGAAAGGGAAGTCTATTTTCAACTAAACTGTATTCGGGTAACCAATCGTCGATAAATTCTTTCTTGGTAAAATAATTTCGGATCTATTTGTTACATAGATAATGTGAATGGTGAATTTTTCTTTTTTTTTTGTTTTTAATTTATAACGGAATTACATATTTAATCGTAATTTTCCAACGTTATTAATGTCATTATTTTTTTTGTCTTTTTTCTTTTTTTTTTTTTATTCCCGAATATATTATATTAATCATTACTTGATATATTTTTATCTTTGATGATAAATTATTTAAGGATTAATTATACTTAACATATTTACAATTCATATCGGTGTAAATTAAAATTTTTTTTTTATATTAAAGCATGTTAGAAATTAAGTTTTAAAATTATAAAATAACAAATTTTAAAAACGATAAATTCATACAATGAAGGCATGAAACGGCATCGATTATTAACAAAAAATAATAATTTTTAACAAATCGTTTAAAATATATTGAATAAAAAAGAAGTAAGCACTAATTTTATTATTAGCGAATTTAGATTTAAATTTACGAAGTGTTCGAATTTTTTTGACACAGAAGTTCATTTCTTTTCGATACATTTTAAAACATTTAAACAATATATATATATATATATATTTGTATAAAATATAAAAATTAAATTATATCAATTTCCATATTTTTAAAATCGACTATATATATTATTTTTTTTTTTT